CTAGGGGAGAATCTACTACTATTATTCTGCTGAATAGACATAGTATTAAACTCCTAATGACTTATTATTATTCTTCACATAAATTAGTGCATCTCACAATCCTCATCAGAAAAGCTTCTTTTGGCAAGAGATGGCAATTAACACAGAGACCCACAACTGGTCAAGGTACTGAGAATAATATAGAATGCTCAGCTCTCAATGGGATACACAACACATCCTCTCCTCCCAAGGCTCAGGGATCACTGTGGAAGACAGGGTGGAAAGCTTGCAAGAGCCAGAGGTAGCTGACTACATGTTAGCTTTATTTTTAAAATCTCTTTGTTGTCCTGAAATGCATTTTTTGTTTTACAACTCAAGGCAGCACATCATATTAAAATTTGGGAAAAACAAGTACATTTTTCTTTTTATGGGGGAGGGGTGGGAGTGTTGATGGGTACTGTAAAAGGGAAAGTATAAAAAAAAATGGTTAGACTTCTCCATCAGAGATGAATTCTCATAAATACTAGTTGGCTTTTCTGGGGGGGTGGGGTTGAGACAGGCTTTCCCTATAGCCCCAGCTGGCCTCATTCTCACAGAGATTCACCTGCCTCTGCCTCACCAGTGCTGGAATTAAAGGCATGCACCACATATACTAGTTTTAAGAACAACTGATTACATGTAGAGGTTAAAAACCTGAAAACTTATTTTTTATTTATGACTTTATGTCTATGAGTGTTATGTCTCCATGTATATAAATGTACCCATGTTATGTAATACCCACACATGCCAGAAGAAGGCACCAGATCCACTGGAACTGGAATTAGGATGGATGATAGCTGCCATGTGGGTGCTTGGAATTGAACCCCAGTCCTTTGCAAGAGCAGCCAGTGCTCTTAACTACCGAGCCAACTCTCCAGACCCTGAAAAACTATTTCTGCCTAGTACAAAGTCTTGATGAACTTTAAGGATACGAATCACCTACTGAAGACTGCTCAAGCTGGCCTCAAACTCCAGATCCTAACAAGTGCTGAGATTCCAAATAAGCTAAATAGTGAGTTCAGGGCTAGTGCTACATGTTGCACTTTTCCTGGAAGATGTATCTACTCACTCCAGATAGGGAACTGACAATAGATGTCACCAAGGTTCAACCTGATGAACCAATGAGTTTTATTGGGGTTACTTATAGGAATATGGGTGAGGAGGGGTGCCGTACAGAAGCAGAAATAACTCAAAGACAGCTGCCTTACCAAAAGCCCATCCCAGCATGCATGACAGTTCACAAAAGCTTAAAACATGGCTCGTATACTGCACAATTTGTAAGCAGTTCAACATGCTGGGGAATGCCTCTTCCAGGGAGCTTGGCTTGCCTGAGAGTCTCTCAGTAGTCCTTACTTCTTATAAATGTTTGAGGAAGGAGAGGCCTAGTTTCAGGGACTTCCTGAAGCCTTTTTTTTTTTCAAGGCATATGTGTTTGTATGAATGTATGCTGCCTGGAGGGGCATCATATCTCCTAGAGATATAGTTACAGGTGGTTGTGAGCTGCCTGATGTGGGTCCTGGGAACTGAACTCAGGTCCTATGGAAGAGCAGCAAGTGCTCTTAACTACTGAGTCATCTCTTCAGCTCCTTTCCTGAAACTTTTTGAGTTGTTTACATCCTGAGCTAATGAGTTTCCCTGTGGAATGATAGTTTCACCTTCCTTAGAATATCTGTGCCTTAATGAGCTTTCCTCCAAGACCAAAGGTTTTATCCTAGAAGAAATTATTACACAACAGCTAGCCTGCACTACAGAGCAAAACCGTATCTCAAAATCCAAGAAATAGGACTAGGGCTGTAGCTTAGGGGGTAGAGCACTTGTCTAGCATGTACAAGGGTCTAAATTCAATCCCTAGGTACTGTTTAAAAACAATAAATACAGCCAGGCGTGGTGGCACACGCCTTTAATCCCAGCACTCAGAGGCAGAAAGATCTCTGTGAGTTCAAGGCCAGCCTGGTCTACACAGTGAGTTCCAAGACAGCTGGGGCTATAGGGAGACCGTGTCTCAAAAAGACCAAAATGAATGAATGAATGAATGAATGAATGAATGAGTGAATGAATACCAAAAAATTAAAACAATAAATAAACAAATGAAGACTGTTAAGTCTAGGCAAAATGTTATTGGTTCACTTAACTATCCATTATAACTTGTATTTCTAGCTCCTTTATTGGACTAGCCCTGCAGCCACTGCTCCTGTGTACCTTTATACCTAGAGCAGTACTTATATGGTAGTTTGAATGAAAAATGTCCCCCATAGTCTCATGTATTTGAACAGCTGGTTTCCAGTTGGTGGCTGGTGTTTGGGAAGGCTATGAAACCTTTAGGATGTGCAGCCTTGCTGGAGGAAGTGTGTCACAGCAGGCAGGCTTTGAGTGTTTATAGACTCATCCTACTTCCATTTTGCTCTCAGCTTCCTGTGTGTGGTTGAGATGTGATCTCTAGCTTGCTGCTCCTGTTGCCATGCCTTCCCGATTATGGACATCTAGCCCTCTGGAACCTGAAACCACAATAAACTCTTCCTTAAGTTGCTTTTAGTCATTGTATTTCATCACAGCAACAGAAAAGTAACTAGTACAGAAGCTGATACCCGAAGTGGGGTTGTTGATATGAAGAACCTGACCATGTTGTTTTTTTGGAGGAATGTGGAAAACTTTGAAACTTTGGACTAGAAAAGAAGTTGAATGCTGTAAGCAGAGCTTGATAAGTCATCCTAGTAGGAACCTGGAAGGCAGTAGTGCTGAGAGTAATTTGGCCAGTAGAGGTCCCACTCAAGAGGTTTCTGATGGGAACAAGATTTCTATTAGCAACTGGGCTAGAAGCCATTCATGTGGTTTTTAGCAAAAAAAAAATCTGGCTGTCTTCTGCCCCATCCTAAGAACTTGCCTGAAGCCAAACTAAAATGAAAAACTACAATGAAAAAGAGCAAGTGGTCCAGAAATAGAAAATGTACAGCTTGGAGAGAAAAAGAGCACCAGAAGGCATAATGTTGCCCCCAAGGCATATGCTAGAAAAGTGGCTGTAACTGTCAAAAAGTTTATTGCCTTTAACTAGAGGCCTCCTGCTCTGTGCTAGAACAAAGGGAAGGGAAAGAGAGCCTAAGGGGTAGGTAACTTCTAGAATGTAACTGCTTCAACATAAAAGGCTGATGCTAATGTGGTCAAAGAAAGCAAGGGTCCATTCCAATTTGGCAGCTGAACTTGCCAATTTTGTCCACGTGGTACTGACTTTGGAGGCATAAAAATACAAGAACGAGGGGGTCCTGGATTCTTCCTCTACAGTCTCATGAGAGCCACTGAGGTCAGGCAGCAAGCAGCAGGACTACAGTCCCTGGAAAAATGCCATGAGAAGTCACCACATGATGCTGTGAAAGTGAAGCCCTGTTTGCAGTAGAAGTCTCCATTGCAAGATGTTAGAGATGCTAGAGCTGTACGGCATTTGCCAAGGAAAGCTGTAGACAAGGAATGGAACCAGTCCAAGAGAGAGATGTATGTTATAGGTAGCAAAGTTAGAGAGGCGGGTCATCTAAGCCATTTGAAACTAATGCCCCAGACACTAGACAGAGCTACAGGATTTGGTGTTTGCTGAATTTAGGTATTGCTTTGTTCCAGTCCCTATTTCTCCCTTTTGTTGTTTAGGAACTCACTATGCAGATCAGGCTGACCTCAAACTCACAGAGATCTGCTTGCCTCTGCCTCCAAAGTCTGGGATTAAAGGTTTGTGCTATCACATGTGGCTCCCCATTTCTCCCTTTTGTAATGTGGCATGTATATTATGTGCCATTGCATGTTAGAAGTACATAATTTTATTTCACAAGGGTCATGGTTAAAAGAGACTTTCTTGAAGCCAGGTGTGGTGGCACACACCTTTAATCCCAGCACTCAGGAGGCAGACGCAGGGGGATCTCTCTGAGTTTGAGGCCAGGCTGGTCCACATAGTGAGTTTCAGGCCAGCTGGAGCTACAGGGAGACCCTGTCCCAAAAGACCAAAAAAAACAAAAAAACAAACAAAAAAAAAAACCCAGTGTTGAGGCTGGCTGTTAAAAAAAACTATGGAAACTTTTAAAAGCTATAAGACACTAAATGCAATTTTACCACTTCCATAAGCAGTAACATATTCATATGTAATATAAATGGAACTTTTAGTAACAAAACTCAAATTTTAGACGTGTTTCTACTTTCTTTTTAAAAAATATTTTACTTATTATTTTCTTTATGTGTATGAATGTACTGCCTGCATGTATGTAAGTGTACCTGTGTTGTATAATGCCACGGAGGTCGTAAGAGGGAGTTGGATGCCCTGGAACTGGAGTTACAAACAAACAAATGATAGCTGCTATCCAGGTGCTGGAAGCCTAACCCAGGTCCACTGCAAGAGTAGCCAGTGCTCCTAACTGCTGAGCCATCACTCCAGCCCCCAGTTTCTAAGTTCCAAAGCTATCCCATTTCTTTACTTTTAAGTCTTCTATTCAAAATTACATTAAAAAGTAAAAGAAAAACTACTCTTGGGCTGAGGAGACAGTCCAGTAGGTAAAAGCACCTGGCATACAAGCCTGCTAACCTGAGTTCAGATCCCAGAACCCGTGTAAAAAGCCAGACCCAGTAGCACAAGCATCTTGCAATCACAGTGCTCCTTCAGGAAATGGGAAGTGGAGGCAGAACTTCAAGAAGTTAGTGGACCAGCTAGACGGTCATACACAGCAGTAAAGAGATCCTGTCCTAAACAAGGCAGAAGGACAAGACCAATGCCTCCAGACTCTTCTGATCTTCACATGTGAACCACGGTACATGTGTACATGTGTGCCCGCACCTACCTACACACACACACACACACACACACACACACTCTCTCTCTCTCTCTCTCATATATCATACATACAAATAAATAAACACTACTCCCACATACTGTATAACTTATCAAGCACTTTCTAAACTCTCCATTTCCAAGGATACAAAAATAAGCAAGTAAAAAAACACAAAGTACTTACAATTGCAGTAATTTCAGCTGCAGTTCCAAAATGAGTAGAAACAAAAATGATAGATGCCAACAGAAATACACACCCTGTTCCCAGTGTAATATAAAAATCCTGTGCATACATAGAAAACACAAGAAATATAGCAGGTTAGTCTCAGAAAATTTTTAAAAAATTTTAAATATTTTACTTATTATTTTTATTTTATATGTATATGAGTATATTGCCTACATGTGTGTAAGGTACACCCATGTTGTGCTGTACCTACAGAGGCCAGAAGAGGGTATCAGATTCACTGGAACTGGAGTTATAGACAGCTGCCATGTGGGTGTTGGAACTCAAACCCGAGTCCTCTGGAAGAACAGCAAATATTCTTAACCACTGAGCCATCTCTGCCTCCCCCAAATTAAAATTTTTTTTAATTTCCAAAAAACTTCAATGATTTACATATTCTCAGTGCCACCCAAACTTAACACATGCTAGTCTTGTAGCTTTTCAATAAGGTGAGCATTCAAACACCATCTACTTAAGACTGGGTATACTAGTAGATTACAAGATAATCTTTTAATAAAGAGTCTCCCAAAAGTGTTTTGTGTGTGTGTGTGTGTGTGTGTGTGTGTGTGTGTGTTTTCTCTAAGACATATTAAAATTACCAATGCAGAGCCAACATGGTAGCCCATGCCAGAAATCCCAGTACTTGGGAGGTAGAGGCAGGAGGATCAGGAGTTCAAGTCTAAGCTCAGATCTGGAATAATGTACTGTGCTTAACTGTTCCCAAGTAATCCCAAATGAGGCTGAATGATGAGCATATTTACTGCAAAAAACCTTCCACATCCCATCATATCGCAGTTTTGAATGGCAGGTGCTTTATAGTCTCTGAGTTCTCTTACACAGTGCTTGGAGGCTCTCATGCCATTGGAGAATGGTGCTTAACATACACAAGTGATTCAGAGAGGAAACTGGTAGTGACAGCTACTCCAAAGGCATTTAGCCTTCTGAGTTCTTCTTAAGGTTTATTCTTTGCTTCTCTATTACTCCACATCTGTTACATGTAACTTACAAATACTTGAAGTGCATTCAAGGACCTATTTAAACAAAATTTTTTCTGCTTGTTTAAAAGGCTTTACTTTGCATAAGCTAATAAAGCTGATAAAATGTTTTCAAATTTACATTATTCTAATCAGATTATACTCACTTTACCTTTTTTTTTGAGTCAGGGTCTGACTATACAACCCTGGTTGGCCTGGAGCTCCCTATGCAGACCAGGCTGGCCTCCAACTCACAAAGATCTACGTGCCTCTGCATTTCATGTGCCACCATGCCTAGTTTTAGTATCTGAATGGTTTCTATGGGCACATCATGTGTGTGTGTATGTGTATGTTTTATTGGGGCTTGAACCCAGGGCCTATGCTTGCTAGTCTCTATCTTTAAGCTACATTCTCAATCTTTTTTTTTTTTTGAGATAGGGTCTCATGTAGCCTAGGCTGGCCATGAACTTCTGCTCCTCCTGCCTTTGCCTCCCAAGTGCTAGGATTACAGGAGTGTGCCAACACAGATACCTAAGACAATCATCTTGATAGAAAAATGTAGTATTTGATAAACATAGCTTCTAAAGTCAGACTACCTGAGTTCAAATCCCAGTTCTATCAATTGAAGTGCATCCCCAGCCTATGCTGGGCTGTTTTCTTGTTTCCATTGTGTTGTTTTACACAGACACAGAGACACAAACACACACACACACAGTTTTCTTGTTTTTGTTGTGTTGTTTTGCACACATACGTGCACACGGTTTTAGTTTCTTAATGGGGTTCTATGGGCATATCATGTGTGTGTGTGTGTGTGTGTGTGTGTGTGTGTGTGTGCTGGGGTACATGTGTGAGTGTTCACTGATTCAGCTAGTTCGGTCGCTATTTCCAGAAGACTTAGATTACAGGTGGGTTGCCATGCTCACCCAGCATTGACATGGATACTAGGGATCCAAATTCCTGTCCTTACATTTGTGCTCTAAGTGCTTACCTACTTAGGTATACAGATGAAAAAGCATTCTAGTACCACGCACACACAAATACCTACATAAACATACACACATACACAGAGAATTTAAAATAAGGAAAATAAATCTTTAAAAAATTCAGGGGGCTAGAGATGGCTCAGCGGTTAAGAACACTGCTTGTTCTTGCAGAAGACCCGGGTCCAAATCCCAGAACCCACATGGCAGCTAACAACTGTCCGTAACTCCAGTCCCAGGGGATCCGACAGCCTCTTCTGTCCTCCACAGGCTGTGCACGACATGAGTGCACTCACATACATGCAGGCAATACACACATACACATAAAACAAAAATAATAAATAAAAAAAATTTTTTTTAATCCTGTTAAGGGGCTGAAGAGATGGCTCAGCAGTTAAGAGCACTTGTCTGCTCTTGCAGAGGACCCAGGTTCGATTCCCAGTACCCGTATGGAGGCTAACAACCATCCTAACTCCAGTTACAGGGGCTCTGATGGCCTGTTCTGGGCATTGTGTGACACAGGTACACTTAGATATATGCAAGCAATATACTCATGCACATAAAACAAATATTATTAAAAAAAAACAAAACAAAAAATCCTGTTAAGGGCCTACAAGATAGTTCATTGGCTTAAGGCACTTGCCACCAAGCCTGAGGACCCAAGTTCAATTCCCAGGACCCACACAGTAGAAAGAGAGAACCCACTCCCATAGTTGTCCTCTGACCTCCACTTTCAAGGCCCCATCCCACCCCGTGACTAAAAAATAACAAATTAATTTTTAAAAATCCGTTAAAAAAAGAATCATTTCATTCTTTTTATGCTGTCATCTCTTTCTGTTAACAGCTAAAATTTTACTGCAATTTTCATTCTTCTCCTCAGAGATATAAATTCTTTTATTATGTTAATCCTGACAACACACAATTCTCCACAAGCCACTGAAAATCCAAATGCTACTGAAGAAATCAACTGTTCAAGTCTTTCTTCCTTAAATTCAGGAAATAAGTGAATTATTTCATCTGTCATCCTATAAATCCAAGCTATACACAAATAAAAGCACAGATTAGCAGACTGTTATTAAAAAGCTAAGCATATCTCATGTTGTGAAAATAAGACTTCTCCATTATAGTTGTGTTATAAAGGAAACTTTTGAACAATGAGCCAACAAATACATTTTTTTATTCACTTAATTTTTTTTCATAATTAAAATGAAAACAAAATATAGATAGAATTATATGCTACTTTACTTAAAAGCCTAGAAGTATCTCCTGCTAGGTCATTACTCCCGTCTCCAGTGTACAGCATTATGCCTGGTGTGCTGGTTGGTTTTTGTCAACTTGACATAAATGGGAGTTGCCTGGGCTATATAAGAAAAGTAGCTGAGGATCACAAATTGAGGACAGCCAGACTAGTGAGACACTGTTTTAAAACCACCAACACCAAAAGTCTAATGTGAATTAGGGTAAGCCACTAATAACTGTAAAGTACTAACAAGTTTGTCCCTCTCACCGTAGCCTCATTTTCCCTCTCCACCTTTGAAGGAAACCCTGAGCTGCTAGGAGGCAGAGTATGAGAACACTAGAGCTTATCTCTTTACAATGCTGAGCTTTGAAAGCATTACTACTTTGAACTAATAAAACCAGGCAAGATTATAAGACAGGAGTGCATCTGTGTTCTTCCCACTTACCGATGACTTGACTTTTCCAGTATCCACTCTGTCGTACACTGGTGTGCAGTACACAATCAGCAGGAGAAGGCTCAGAAGAAAGGCACTGCAGCTCACAAACTCAAAGAAGTACAATCCTCCACACAATGTGCACTCTGATACAACTTCTTCACAGATGAAGGCCAGCAGAGACAGCAGCTGCAGAAAGAAAACACTTTACTTCAGTGTGTTTCAGATAACCCATGGTATTCAAAAACTCCACGTGGGCTATGTGTGGTGCACATGCCTGTGATCCCAGCTACTTTAGAGGATCAGGAGGTTCAAGGTCAGCCTTGGCAATATAGCACGATGCCATCCAAAAAAGTAAACCCACTGTGTCTACTGAAATATTTATAAAGAAGAAGCTGCAGCAAACAAGGTCAGTGAACAAACCTCATAAACAGAACTTACAGTCTATCTGCCTTGAAGGATACACCCAGTGAACTTGGGCGTGTCAAATACTAAGACAGGGAAATCGGGGTGTTATAAAAGTCTATGGGAAGGGCTTCTAGAAGGAAAACAGACCTGGAAGGAAAACGGTCAGTTCTAGGGTGGAAGACAGAGAAAGTTCCTAACAGAAGAATGCATACAAAGGCCCAGACATGAGAGAGCATGGTACCTCACTCCCAAATACCTGAAACACACACACACACACACACACACACACACACACACGCACGACTAGTCTTTCTACAGTCAGACTAGTAACATTAGTCCTTAGATTTGCTTTATAAAATTCCACAGCTGATGAATATTTAGAGTTTTCCTTTTCTATGTGTGTAGTGTTGTGGAGCACTGTCCTCCAACAGCCAATTCCATCTTAATCAGAGCAGCTGTGACTACTGGCAAGAGACTCTCCAGACTGGCCATGGGGCGTTCTCCCTCATGGAACAAGTGGGGTCACTGTACCCTCACCTGAGATTCCAAATTCCCTCCTGCACCTCTCTGCCAGTTGTATGTAACTGTGCCCAGATGCATGTGATCTTAGGACATGCTAGAGAGTATGGAGTGTGGAAAGTAAACAAAAGTGGGCTCCATCTATGGGGCTATGGGAAGCATCGCCTGTGCTGAGGTGACACTTGAGCAACACAGCTGATGAAGTTACCCACGCTCTTCTAAGTAAGCCTCAAATCTCACTGGATCATCAAGTTAGACTTGGGTGGAACTGTTACTCTGGTCTGCCATTGGTGTCCTGCCATTGGGGTAAGTAAATCTTTGTTCATGTCTCCCCAGAAAAAGTGCATGAAATGTGGGGGGTTTGTTTAAGACAGGATCTCACTCTACACCCCAGGCTGATCTCAACTCACAGCAATCCTCTTGCCTCAGCCTCCCAAAGTGCTGCAATGAAAGGTGTGAGCCACCATTCCCAGCATCAATCTGGTGTTCCTAAGAACAACTCCTACACTAAGTGTGGAAGTGCACTCTTGTAATCCCAGCACTTGGACGGCTTGAGGATTGGCTTAAGGTAGCTGTGACGGCTAATCCTGGGTGTCAATCTGACTGGATCTGGGATTAACTGAAATGAGAGAGATCTTCTTGATTGGATCATCTGAAGCCAGAAGACACACCCTAGATGTGGGTGTTACCTTCTGACGGCAGCCCATATAAAAAGGCCAAGGCAGAGGAGAACGCCTGGCTTCTTGCTGCTTGCTTTCTCTCTTGCTAGTGAGTTTGTCTTGCTGCTGTAGACTGAAGACTAGCTGATCTTTTGGAATTCGTCAGACCTTCAGCGCCAGATTGAGACTCAGCCTCGTGGACTGAGCGACTATGGATTCTCAGCCTCTCCAGTGTGGTGCAACCATTGTTGGACTACTTGGACTCTATCCTGTGAGCTAAGCTAATAAATCTCTATCCATATATATCCATTCCACTGGTTCTGTTTCTTTGGAGAGCCCTGACTAATACACTTGGCCACTGAGGTCTGCACACAGGTGGCTGCTCTAGTTAAGCTGAACTTGTCTCGCTGCAAAAGCATTCTGTTCCAACTTCAACTATCACTTCAATTAAAGTTTAGTACTTAAATTTTCACTTGTTTTTCAAACATACTAAATTCTTAAAAACTATAAAAATTTAATATTCTTAGACTATATAAATGCTTTCCCTATCACCTGTCACTTTATCCACTTGTGAAAAGTGCTTGCTAATTAACTATCCTCCCTTTCTCTATATTGTGCCAAACCTACACTGGATAAACTGGAAGTCAGGGTAGCATCTGAAAACCATGTTCTTTACTTAGATGATGCTGACACCGTCCCTACCCTCAACAGGAAACTGAGTCTATCCTTAAGGCCATGCTGAGACCCAAGAATATGCTAGGACTCACACATGGTCTGGCCCCTGGGCAGTGCTCACTAAGTAAGGTTCAGAGCCCACTCTAGTGCCTATGGCCTGCTGAGTTCTGGTCCTTCATAGGCCCCGTCCAGGAAAAGTGAGAGTAAGGGAAGGTTTCCTGGCTGGGACAAAGAAGGCAGCCAGTGTGTTAGAATGGCTTTACCAGGCACTACAGCAAGAGACAGAACACAAGAATAAGTTCATCTCAGCCCTTCCATGTGGCAGGGGAGACAGTCTGGGGTTCAACTCAGGTGGGTACCTACTTGGGTAAGGTTTCTCACTGCAACTGCAGCTCCTTGTATCAGGCAGGACTCAGAATGAAACAACCCTGCCTTGTCCAGTCCAGAACCTGGCCATTTCCCAGAATGAACAGGAAGGTAGGCGGGGAGGGGCCCTGCTCTGAGGAGGACAGCCAAACTTGCCTCTGGGACCAGGACAAAGCCTTGTTAAGTCCTGTTAGGTGGAAACCATTCTGCACACCCTCTCATGGGTCCCTCAAGACCACAGCCAGCAGAGTCTAAACCCCACTTCAAATCCACAACACAGAGCTGAGCCACAAATCCACCAAAGGGCATGGGCATAAAGCACCAAGAATATAATCTGTCCCTCAAGATTCTGAGACTCCAGAGACACAAAGATACTAAAGGTGGTACGGCAACAGCAGCACAGAGTCCTGGGAAGAGTATCCATCTAACCTGGCTGGTACACATCCCACCCTAGTCACTTCAGTGACCTGGGCTTCAGTGTCCTCATCTCTTGGGTCTGTTACAGTTTGGATGAATTAATCTTTGTACACAGCTCAAGTGCATGTTTGGTGAATGTGGCTGCAATGGCAGCAGCATGATGCAAGACAATCTCTCAGAGCTCAGAAAGTCACTGCACAGCAAGAAAATTCTAAAGAGTCTTCTAAAAGAAACCTCAGTTTAGAAACACTGGTTCTTTCCAAATAAACAGGTAAACAGGCACTGCAGCAGGGAAAGAGGGTAGACAAGTTTTGCAACAGGGAGAGGGGGACAGACACTGCAGCAGTGAGGGGGTAGACAGGCACTGAGCTGTCCCTCAGGCCTTTCACAGCCAGGAGAGAGCAAGAAAAGTACAAGTAGTCCAGCAAGGATCCCCATTGGAGGATGATGAAAGCTCCTAACACTTTCTTACAGAGCTTAAACTCAAGCCAGGAACCTACAACATAAAGAGAAAGCTACCTATCACCATGTATTCTTTATACATGATACACAGCATCTCAAGCCAGACTTGGGCCCCAGCCCTGGAGACCACTCTATCCAATGCAAACATAGCATGGATGAGTGGGGCCCATCCTCAGCTCAAGCCACGGTCTGTGGGGAGAGGCCACAGCTGCATTCAGCATGGCAAGTCAGTCAGCAAGCAATGTCAGAAGCAGATGACAGTACATTAAACATCAGTGCCACTCTCCACACAGAGGGTGATCATCAAGAGAAAAGACATTCACACAGCAAGCCATTTACTAATAAATCGGATTCAATTTCATCATAATTTTTCTGAATAGGGGAAAATGTTCAAATTCTTAATTTTCAAATTAAGAACCTCCTAACTTATTCTAATCTGTAGCACACATAACTGTAAAATTGAAACCACAAAGGACAAGTCGAGCCCTCGAGTTGCAAT